TCTCAACACACTCGTTGGTAATTAGATGAGTTGCACCTGATAGCTGCGGTACATATAACTTTGCATTCCCCTGCATGTGCCTGAGGTTAATTAATAGAATTATCTTTGATGCTGTAGAACAGTTAATATGGCTCATTAAGTGAGGAGTTTACAGTTCCCAGTTCCCACTTCTTCTGAAGAACTTTAACCTTCTCACAGTTTTTTATTCTTTCCTTTTCTTTTTTTTAAATCCAGACATGATCAATATAGTACATCAAGCAACATATTTATGCCCGCTGGTCGTGGTTTTTGGTAAAGGTGTGATGATGAAACTCAGAGTTGATGCAGCAGTACGAGGCCTTTCAGAGAACTACCTGAGAACAAAAAAAAGACTGCCTTTTACTTATGAATTTCACAGTTGGATTAAAGGTAGAATAGAAATGGAATCTATCATCCCTCCCCTCCTCTCTCTTTCTCCCCCCTCCTTCCTCTCTCTCTCTCTCTCTTTATGATGATGATGACGCAGTGCCCCCTAGAGCTGATTCAGAAAACTGGCCACATTGTTTTTCAGTTCCTCTACCCAAAGACAAATCATCTCATTACAGTTCATTGGCTTCATTTAGACTGTAGGTGAGGTGTAATGCTGATATGTTATACTGACAGTTAAGGAAATAAGAGGCCCTTGTCTCGCCATCATTACGACTACAGAGGTGCCCTTGAGCAAGGCCGTTATCCCACAGTTTTACTGGGAAGCCTTCAGATGTTAATGTGTGTACCAGTGTGAGTGTGAGCAGGATAAAAAGGGGGCATTCCTGAACAAAAGAGGGCATTGCTCTCAGCAAAGTAAAGTACCTTTGAAAATTAATGAAAAAGTTGAATTAAATGAACACTCCAGATGTTACATTTGTACATTTGAGAGTATTATTTAAATGCCAACATTAGGAAAAAGTGAAAGATTTCCTACTGCACATCATTTTAAAGACAGATGTTGCTTATATGCAAACATTTTTATGGCTGATTACAACTGTGTGACAGCAATAACACCTTGGACTGGATCTCGCTTCTGTTTTACCATCTCCTATTGATGTTGCTCTACCTCCATCTGCTGGTGGCATTTAGTGCTGGTGGTAAGTCTCTGGTTTTAAGATCAAGAACAGTTCAACCTACATTGTATGTGTTTACAAAATGCTAAATAATAGATATATATGTATAAAATGCAAGAATATCCTGATATGCAGCATCCTAACTATGTTTATTGTCATTGTAAGGCTGCTAAACTGTGCAAAAATCAGTTAGTCCAACAATTATAATAGAAATTGTATGACAAACCTAAATATTTTTCAGTATTTTAAATGTATTCTTTTATTTCATGACTGTTCTTGAAACAAGTCAAAATGTTTGGGGTGTAAGTTGATTTATTTCACCCCAGTGGCAGAATATTTCTTGTTTTATGAAAAAATAGATCTTGAAAGGCTCAATGCAAAGTAAATTATGTGTAAAGATTGATGTGGATGACGTGTTTTGCTGTGATGCTGAATCAATCTCACCTCAGCAGTTATATATAATTGAATCTCCATGCAGACATTTTGCCCAGGGGGTTATTTCACAATGCAGAAAGCTCACCAGGAAACTGTAAAAATGATGTGATAGTTATTTAAATCTGTAAAAAAAAAAAAAAAGAAAAAAAAGAAACTTGCATGTTAAGGATTGCAAACTGAACTTCTGTATGTTTTTTTGGTATCTGACTCTTAGTGCTTAGTGAAATTACCATTCAGATCTGTTTTTTTATGTGTACGTCCTTCAGTCCTTAGAACATTACATTTAATTCCACTGGAGATGGGCTTTACCACACTGCATGCACTGATGTATTATATTACAAATTAAATGAACTGATCAACACCCTGTTTGATGCCCTCCCTTTTTGTACAAATGCTCTGTACGTCACTTGTACAATATTGGCTCCTTGCCTGTCCAATCTTCCATCACTAATATTGTCTCCAGCAACTCTGATACTGGTTTCATCAGTAGCCATCAGACCCTCTCATTTCCTCTTCAGACGGATATGAACTCTCCTGACAGCACAGGCATCAGTAGCAACATTGTCTGACAGCCAACAAACAAGAAAGGACAGAGCATTTCATACAGATCACTAACCAAACACTTGATGTCTGAGACGATAACGCTGTTGGACGACATTTTGTGAAAACCGTGCTTGTGAACCATCCTCATTTGGCTACAAGCTATTTTGTGTTTTGGGATTGCTTGTTCTATTTGAAACTGTTATCTGCAGCGAAGCTGAGGGCTGGCCTTTTGTTAACTGATACAAGTATATTAGGACTTACGCAGCAGTTGGGGGGGGGGATCTCTTTTTAACCCTCTGAGGAACACTTCTTTAGTTGGCTATAGCTTTACAAAACACAAACAACCAGGCAAACTTTGAACAAAAATATTTTTATTGTTACATGTACCTGCCATGGTCACTGACATACAACAGTTACAATAACTGACATAGGTACTTTCCATTTCTAAGATTAAAAATATGCTATTAGAGTTTTTTCTCCATAACATTTCATTAGGCAAATACCTTAAAAGGAATTGTCAATTCATAATGATACAGTGTATAACATAAAAAATATGACAGGGTCTGCAGAAACCATTTATCTTCATAGTCACAATCAATTATATAGTGTGTGTTTTTGAAACGTGCACCCTCTGTGTTAATGTAGATTTATTAAGTGCACATACAGAATTCTTTCTTCAAGTGTTGTGCTGTTTAGGAGGGAGAAGGTGCATTATGATTTAAACCTTTATATCAGCTTCTGTTTTTCTTAAAATCTGTAAACATTAGATGCTTTAGTGGGTTATCGCCATTGGGTGGAAATTACAGATGTGCTTCTCTCTGCTGTTTTATGTGAATTGATTTCCATTTTGATCATTGGCCAAAGTGTTGTGATTAGGGTGCAAAATTAACTTGTTTGTCCTCCGACCAAATGTCTACCAACCACTCAATAGATTACCGTTGTTTCTTTGGCTGGTGAATAAAGCAAATCTACCAGCCACATGCATATTTTACCAGTATTTTGCTGGTAAATAGTGCTAATTCTATGCCTTGGTCCAATTTCCACTAACAAATAAGATGATGGTTGAAGTGTGTTTGTGTTTGTGAGAAAGACCACATTTCATCACAAAAAGGATCACAAAAAGGATGTTCCAACTAAGAGAATAAACCTGCAGGAGGTCATTTTTCCATCCTTCTGCTGTCTGCCATTGTGAGAAATTATGTTAGAAGAGCAGCACTCATTTTTCTGTTTTGTGTTTTCAACATGTGAGTTTATGCATTTCCAGTTGATTTGTCCCACAAAACCTGGACTGTCAGCGCAGTGAGTAGAGGCTGACAATCCACTAACCAGTGGTTGATGTTTAAGTGGACCTTTCCCAACCCACAGAACCCCCCACCCTCCTTCATTGTCCTCAGAGACTTTCCCCTCCGGGATCTTGAGCAGACTGGGAAAGTGCTTGCAGTAACTTTGGAAAAAAAAACTCTGATATTCAGAATTAAGTTTTTAAAGGTACATTTCCTATTTTAAAAAAATTAAGCAAAGCTGATGTCACTAAATTTGCAACATTCATTCTGGTCTTATATTGACAATAAAAGATAAAAAACAGGAATATCAGCACTGATATGGCACAGACTATAGATACACGCAATACAAAACACTAACACTACAATGTGGTTCACTAAATACTATCAGAATGACATCTATACAAGTCTTCAACTTCTTATAATAATGCCTCACAAACAGGTGCTGGCATCCACTGTCGTTTCATCGCAATATCATCACATATGCAGCGCTGACTCTGACATGGTGTGATGTGAGAATAAAATGATACAGCTACAGACCTGTTTCACAGCAACACATCTTAAAGAAACATTACATACACTGTTTTATCTCACGTTTTAGTTTGTGCTTTAAAATAGTGCTGCGGATTCATTTTACAAATGATTAGAAAAAAATACAAATATTGAAATCAATTGTTATTTAAAAGAAATATTAGTAGCGTATGAGTATAATGTAATCATTGTTATGCTAGTTAACCATTTTCTCATCCAGCCCTGACCTTATTTATACACTGTACAATGTCAGTGATTGTTTCTTCTGTTTTTACCTCATATATCTATAACTGGAGCAGAAAGTCTAACTCACAGCTTTCATATTCTATAAAACTGTAAACTATAATAAACTATGCGTAGTTTGGTTGTTAGTGTTTAAAAAATGTAAAGAAAGTTAAAAAAAAACTTTTGTCTTGCTAAGCTACTTATTTGTACACTTTAGGTGTTTAATAAACTTGTAAGTTTTAGGCCACTAGAGTATTGTATGCAGCTTCTGATTCTGTGTTTGCGTTATACAATCACATTGTATGACTCTCCATTAACTAACATGCAACATATAAACATGTTCTAGCTTTAAAAGGAGATATAATTGTCAATTAGATTTAGAATAAAAACAGTGGAAAATCTAGTCTAAATGCCATGAAAATTTGCAATATTTTGTAGTGTTCATAAAATGTGCCTTCATACAACTACTTCACAGTCCTTTAACAAGCCAAGCCATCCCTTAAAATACCACAGCTTCCTACCTGGTTAGATAAAAATTGGAAAAAAAAACAGAAAAAGAAAAAAAACATGTAAACACGAATGTTCAGACGGAAATATTGCCGCAGTCCGAATAATGCTGGACAGTCATGTTGTTCAGTCTGTCCAGCATTATTCAGCCGCCTCCCTCTCCTCAGGAACAGACATGAAGATCTTCTGACAGAACATGGTGAAGATTTCTGAGGAGACACAACTCATCACATTAGCCGTGTCTGTTTTCTTACACTAGGTTACTACAGGTCAAATGTTGTCAGACCTTGGTTTCAGTCCTTCGCATCGACTGTATCAACACACTCCAGCAGATATTCTCACATGAATTTCATAACAATGTAATGAATGCTTCTCCAGCCTTGCCTGAACAAATAGACAAATACGCTGTAAGAAAACAAAAATCTCTCCACTTACCCAGCATCTTCTTGACCACATGGGGTTTCTTCCACTTGTAGCCCAGTAGGTACGCCGGGATGCCTGTGAGAATAATGCTGCTGCCGACCAGGCACTCAAACGGAGCTGCCCAGAAGGACACAATGATCATGAAGACGCAGCCCAAAACAAAAGTCACAGGGATGAAGAGAGGAATCTGCAAAAATAAAATACAATAGATATTGCCGTTTGTTCCTGTTAGAAAAGAGGAGAGTAGATAAAATACCGCTATCTGACTAAATGCATTTTCAGAGAACTGATCTTCTGAAATGTATTCATAGTAGTTGGTATATCTGTCATATACAGGATCATGTAAAACATCACATTATGCCGTCATGACTTCATAATAATGCAACTTTGACCTGATAATGTGATAATAATGTTGGTAATAATACAGTAAGCAGTTTAAGTTATTTTCCCTATGGGGTTGTTTGTGTATATTATCACATCACAAGTTAAACCCAGTAGTGGAAAGTAACCTTTACAGTATTTCCATTTCTGCTACTTTATACTTAATATTATAACATATAATAAACAAATAAATTCAGATATTATTATACTTTAAGATAAGGCTTTATTGATTCCACGGGGAATTCATAAGTTAGCCAGCAGTCTATAAAAATGAAAATAAAAACAATAAAAAGGAGCTATTCTGGCATATGAGTACTTTTACGTCAGTAAAAGATCTGAGTACTTCTTCCACTTATATCCTTTATGAAGTAATAACCACCGGTTATTGTATAACATGATTATATAGTTGGGTGGGCATTTAGTACATTTTAATGGGTATTATTCTTGTTTGATCCACTTAAGTTGCCATTCTACTACTGTGAAATATTCTTAGAAGCAGGACTTACATTATTGACCATTACAAGTACATACAGTATTTAGTAAATTCTGTTTCTCAGCCAGCAGACCACCACAAGCTAATGAAGAGAAATGCATTGTTGCCCTGTCAGAGGCTCTGAATTTAGATCTAAGAAATAGAAACGTTGTTTCGTGAATGGTTTGCTTGTTAGAGGTTCATTTTATAAAACAAATGGGCTGAGAGCACTCGGGCTCAAAGGAAAGATGAAAGACTGACCAAAGTGATATTCCCATGAAACAAAAACAAAGAGCCACTCCCTCCTATCCTGAAAACACACTGGACTCCACTTCCAACTAATAACAAGAACAGTGATACAATGGTGCTTTCATTAAAAAAATAAATAAATAAAATAAAAAGTAGTGGATGCTCTGTGAAACCAGAAGACATGTTGATGTTTTGGGCAGACAAAGAGACTGGCTGAGATTCAGGTAGTACAAAGGTCTTGCATCACCTTGTATACCTCTAAGCAAGTCCTTGAATAAATGACTACAACACTACTTCAACAAGTACTTACCACCTGTAATACAACCTTTTAGACTTGGATACTCAACCTTAATGGGCCTTCTGAGGTCAGGCTTGGTAAAGCGCAGCCAGAGCATGCCAGCAATGGCCATACCAACACACAGCCAGGTGAAGAAGCTGAAGAGATTGATGACAGAGAAGATGTCCTGGGAGATGGTGTACATCATGGACAGCAAACACTAATACCATAGAAAAGGAATATTGTGTTAGTCTTGCATTCATAGCATATAAACACACACACATAGTACTCCTTCAATTATTTAGAAACATGTTTCAAGAGTGATTTATGTGCTATGCTAAATGCTAATGTGAGGTTAAGGTTTTTGCTGTTAGTAGCCGCAAAGTCTTACTGTGAAGATGAGGGACGGGACTGGTGTGAAGAGGTCTGTGTGGACCAGTCCCAGAGCAGCAGGGAGTTGACCCTCTCGAGCTCCAGCATAGAACAACCTAGAAGAGATAATGCTTTGTAGTGGATATTTTATGATGAAATAGTTGGCCTACATAAATTTTCAACCAGTAACAATCTCAGATTATGCAACAAGGCTCTCGTACCCTCTTATCCAATGCAGTACCTGACTGCAATCTAATCATTGCAAAGGAACATTAAACTGGTTTGAGCGGTTGTACGATTTTTGGAAAACTATTAAACATCTACCCAACAAGCATTCCCTCTGCTTAGTTTCCAATCCCAAGACATTGTATAAACTGTAAAAAAAAAAATGCAGTAAACTGTACTACAAGAGCAAAATGCAATCAATATTCCATTTTAATCATATTCATTCATATATTTTAGATATGTGAAAACACGCACCGTGCTGAGGTGAACAGGGATCCGTTGACAGCTCCAAAGCAGGACAGTCCCACAAAGACAGGAATCAACCACGCCATCACACCCAGATGGTACTCCCCAAAACTCTGCCAAACAGCAACAACGTGTACGAAAGACAGATTAAAGATGCAACTGGTGGCACTAAGCTGCAGTGTGCAAGTCGTAGCTGTGGCAACTTTACAGCAGAAGCACGAAACTCACCACGGCAACCGCCTCGGACTCGACCATGACTTGGGGAGAGATGGTGGTGAAATAGGCCAGGTTGGTCAGAACATACACCACCGTCACTATAGGCATGGATATGATGATGGACAGGGGCAAGTTCCTGTGGGGTAAGTGGTCAAAGGTCATTTGAAGAGAAAACATATACATATTTTCTAGTAATATCTGATTGTTTCCACTGTATTTATGGCATCAGTGATTGAATTTGTGTTCAATTTTATGCAATCCAATTGGCAAATGTCATTGTATAAATCATATCTGATTAGCTGCATACAGTGATCTGTCATGCTACATTATATAATATTTAAAAGCATAAACATCACGTGCTTAACTGAGCATCTCAATATTTTAGGTGTCATACAAAGGGTGGACAAAACAACTGGAAAAGCTAAATACATAATGCACTCTGAGGCAATGAAACTCACGCTTATAATTTGCTTTTGTAAATTAAAAAAATTAAATGTGTGTACTCCATGCAATCAACTGATGGTTAACAAGCTCAAAAAAACAACATTTAAGTCACCTCTCTGGATTGATCATCTCCTCCGTTACGTAATTCAGATAATTCCTGGAAGAAAATATAAAGTTCAACACTGTTTTAGTGACAAGATGAAGACTGGAATTTCTCTATATTGTATTATGAAAGCTAACAGTTGTATTTCTGGTCCTTAATTATATCAAAATAGGTCACAAATGCCTCACCAGCCTCCAAAAGCAAAGAGACCGCTGTACAGAGCCAACACAATATTGTCCACTCCCAGTTTGCTGCCTTCAAAAGACTTTTCTAGTGTCAGGTATGGCACATCACCTGCACACACAGACAGAAGAAGAAGTTAAATGAATCTTAAACCACTGAAAGACAAAACATTCCTCTGTCCACACTTTAGTCCGACTTAAGCTCTCAAATCATCATGTGGTTTCACAGACATTTATTGGATTCTCATTCAGGGCTGCTGCCACTTCTCATTTCTTGTATGAAGGCCGGTCTGTTGCTGCCTGCCCTTCGACAGGCTTGACATTTTCGAGCCAGTTGGGACTCCGTCTGAGCCGTAGCTGCTTTGATGTACTGAAACATAATCAGGTCCTGTTCAGCTGACATTTAAAAATGAGCAGAAATATCTTTTAATAAGTAAGCCTCAATCAACTCATTTATGTGCAGCAGCTCACAAAACCAGTGTATCACGAGTGAGGCCTAACTGTAAAGCAGGGTGTGTGTGTGTGTGCGTGCTTTAACTTGAATGCTTGGTTCTGTTCGACTCTCTTCTCTACCTGTCACTTTCAAATGGTAATGACTCTTTGCTTTTTCCGTGAGGCCTATTACACGCACATTATTTTCTCACTCTGTCCCTCTCTCTCCGTGCTCTGAAAGAACCACAGTGTGACAACAGCAGGCAAGCTTCGCCTTCTAGTTTCCATGGTAACACAGCGTAGAGCATAATGGTGGGCGTGGCATTATTAAAAGGAGGGGGGAGCAGCAGATGTAGCATGAAGCGATGGCCACACGGTCTTCCCGCGCTGTTTTAATTTTGAATGGCAGAGCTGATTCCACTGCTTTGCTATTTCGGTTTTTATTTCACTATATATATTTATATTTATATTCACTGTTATTGAATTGTTATTCAAGATGGAGTTGAGATTGCACATGTGAATCACATCAGCAGTGGTTGCCTCCATGTTCTAATACGATTCATTATACGTACAATGATTTCCTGCAGGCAGAGAATGATCTCTTTTCTGTAGCGATCATCATTGTTTTCCATTATTTCCCTTATATGACTATATCAATTCTATAATGTGCTGTTAGATACATACAGTGCAGATGAGTCACGTATTACGCCCAGCAGAGTTCATGTTCATACACCCACATAGACACACGTGCACATGGTTGCACACTTGCACAGACTCAATCACATGGCTGCAGACAGACAGGCCTTGTGTTCAGACTCAGCAACTGTGCTAACAAACTGAAAGGAGGGCAGTCTGCTTGGTTTGGCTCATTAGTGTTAGACAACAATTTGCTGATCATTAGAGACTAAAGAAATAAACCTTAGGTTGCCAGTAGATACAGTCAATCATTATAATGTGACAATAATGGATGAAACTATACTTTGATAAAACCTAGTAACGGTAATAGTATTTATTTCCTCATACTTTAAGCATTATTATTCAATAAACAACGAAAACAGTAAACTGCAAAGGCAGCAATTCAAAAAACTCAGCGTCTCTGTGTAAGTTAGAGTTTTACTGATCCATTAAGTAGATTTTAATTCTGTTAAAAGATTAGATTTAAATAATAACAGGATTAGATAAATCTACTATGAATGCACATCCCCCATCCACAATCAGTTTTCTTTCACACTAAAGTAATGATGAACCAGCCTGTTTTCCACATTATGTTTGGACAATAAAGTTTTACAAGAGACGTTTCTTTGCAACATCCATTGCTGTTCCTGCAAGGCCAATAAAATCCACACAGTTTTAGATTTGCTGTCTTTTAACATGTTTTATGTATTTTAAAGGCCTTTCTAGGGACAGGGTTGCTAATTAGCTGTTGCGATGAATGCATTATACACTGGATAATTGTAAAAGCAATTTTCTATGTAAAGTGTATCTCTCCCTAACAAATAAACATGAAATGAAATCAAGATGTCAGTATTGACATTGGAAGTTATATCAATTAGTGAAATAGACTGAACTGCAAAACACAGTTGGCATTCATGCAATCGATATCAAGTTGAGAAATAACATAAATCTGATGAATGTATTATTATTACTGCTTTTAGTCTCTTTGTGTATAATAGACCTGTGGCCACAGCATTTTACATAGATCTCTGAAATAGCCTGACCACGACAAACATAAAAAATAGAGCCAATCTGGGACTTTTTAGTGACTCTGTGGCTCTGTCTGTCAGCCTATGAGTAAGTGGGACTCACCTGTGGAAATCTGGATGAAGCCAAAGAGGATGATGATGATCAGGGCCAGCAGTTTGGAGGCCGTGAACAAGTCCTGGACCTTGGTGGCCGCTCTCACGCTGATACAGTTTACAAACGTCAGGGAGGCTACAGGAGGAGGGGAAGACACAAAAGAGAGAAGAATCAGGAATTAAGAGGATCATTTATTTGTAATCTGTAAAGAAAGAATAGTCTTTCCAAGGTAACCCCAGCACAACAACCCCCTTACTCACTAAGACACAGGCAGGCAATGAGCTTGGCCGCACTTTCCGGCACAGTGCAGTTTGGGTAGAGAGGTTTCAGAAGGTAGGTAGCGAACACCAGCGACACCACATACTGTGACGAAGGCCGGATGATGAGCATCTCCACCCACAGCTTCAGAAAGGCCGCCAGTTCGCCGTACACCTCCAGGATGTAAGTGTAGTCTCCCCCCGACTTGGTGATGGTTGTGCCCAGCTCGGCGTAGCATAGGGCACCCATGGTAGAGATCACTCCACAGGCAGACCAGATGATCAGGGAGAGCCCAGCCGAGCCGGTCTCTTTGACCACGCCTGTCGGAGTGACGAAAATGCCAGAGCCGATGATGGTGCCTATGATCATTCCCACGCCATTGAAGAGGGTGATGCTGCGTTTTAGGACAATCTTCTCCCCCTTGGCGGGCGAGGCCTCAGTAGGGCTTGTGGCAGTGGGAGCAGGGACCATGGGGGTCGATGGAGACGATGGCTGCTCTACAATCAGGCCATCTTGGTCTGGTTCTGCTTCAGCTGCTGGAGGGGACGGGACAGCAGATCAGGAGATTAGGCAAGAGAGTTTCGCATGTGAGGTACGGCCACTTAGTGTTCACAACAAAGAGAAAATCAGACTTTGAAGTTTTCTTTGCTGAGATATTTTAGGCACTGGTTCATTTAATAAAACATGATAACGAAACTTTTATGACTACACACGGGTTAAAACAATACGTTTCTAATGTCCGTCCAAGTGTCAGGACAGTTGGACTCCGGTATGGACTGTTCTCAAACAGGTAAAACAGGCTAATCAGGGTCATATTCAAAACCTGTTACTTAAGAATGACACCTTATCTCTCTAATTTACCTCTCCTTTTGTTAACGTGATACACACTACAACAGGTAATTGTGCTTACATGTCCAGTAAAGGGCTCGTGAGACAGACACAGGCCATTTTTATGTAACATGTCACCTCGGTTACTTGTCACTATCACACAGACACCCAAAACACTGTGACGCATCTTTACAGGCACATCAATCTGAATGTACTTTGGCATCAGGCAATGTTGCATCAGAGCGCATGGCGGAATAATGCAGCCCTGCACCATGTGGTAGCTACAGGAGTGTGAGCATGCACTGTACCTACCCTCCATCTTCTCCTGGCTTGCCGCCTTGGCAACGCTCTCCCGGCTGCTCCGTGATTTCAGCTCCGGCTCAGCCATCTTCCCTCTTAATCTGGGTCCCCTTGTCTTGTCTTTTTCCTCCTGCCCCCCTTTTCCTTCCTCTCTTTATGTCCCCTTCCTCCTCCTGCCTGGATTTCCTCTCTGTCTCTCTCTCTCTC